TTCGATAATATAGGTTCAATAGATCATAATCAAACCCATGAAACACCACCACTCACCAACATTAGTAAGATTGCCTTTTATATAAAGAATTCTTTGCATATGGATTTCTTGGATAGTTATTTCACAGAATCAGAGACGGTAGAAATTTCTTTACCTGATGTTAAATTCCCAAATGCTGCCTCAATGGATCTTTATGATGGAGGTGATCCACTAGTTCTTTCATTTGAACCTAAAAGTTCCGAGTCATATATAGAAAGTTCTATTAAGGCAGCCGCACCCGCATATCCTTATGACTTTTTTTCTTGTCAGAAAGAAGATTGGTTTCCTCCAACGTTTCAATCATTTGTTGATATGTTAATATTACGATGTAATAAAATGTCTACCTCAACAGCATATAATGTTGTTAATTCGGTTAAGGCAGAAGAATTTTTGTACATAATTGATAATCTTATAAATTATGACTTCATGAATAACGAGAGTTTAGAAGGAACTCAATCGTTAGTGTTAGACACACGAATCGTAATGAAGGTGAGGAGATAATTGTGATACCAAATTCATCAATAGTTTTTTAATTTTCTCATTAATTCAATAGGAATATCAACCGATTTTATACGTTGCATTTTGCCTATCTGGATCAGTTCAATATTCACCACCATCCTGTATTATATTAAATCTTTCTCGCTTTATTTTCTTAAATTATTCATTGATAGTAACATAATTATTTTAAATGTGTTTTATAGTGTGGGTTCTCCGATCATCATTAAAATCTGAAAATACACCAAATCTGGAATTTAATTCTGAAAAATCTCTTGATAAACGAACCAGTGAAATTTCCGTTATCGAACTGTCAAATCAGAAGCAACAAAATAAGTATCTTATAATAACAGATATGCAATTATTTGATGATGAGAAAATGCATTTAATCATAACTGGGCTTGATGAATCAGGTTAATTTCTATGTTAATTAAATAATAATATATCATATAAAATAACCGACTTAATTTCATTTATGGGAACTATAGAAAATGAAGTAAATTGTATAGTAGAAGTGAATTACACAGAACTAAATTTTATACAAGTTATCGAACCACGCACAGTACTACAAGCGATAGAATATTCAAAAAGAATCAATGTTGTTGATCAAGTATTAAACCAAAAGGTATACTTATAATAATATACCTATAATAATTTATAAGGATTGTTTATTCTGATTTATTGAATTTTTTTCCCAAAAAGAATTTGGAAAAATTCTCACCTCTTTAATATGAAAATGAAATGATAATTTATTTATTTATATTATTATTTAGAATTCGATAATATAGGTTCAATAGAT